TTCAGTTGCATTCGTATTGCCTTCTAGAAGATTCTGTAAACAAACATTCGAATTTCTGAAAATTGAAAACAATTATAGCACTTCATTCATTCCTAATATTCATGTTGAAGACATTCTGTCAATTTTCAGCTTCTTGCCCATTGTTGTATCATGATGAAGAGAAATACTTAATTTATATTGTGAATGTGAACTCAAAAAAATATTCATTTCATTACATTTTGAGTTCACACTGACAGAGTTCCTGAGTTGTAAGCATTCCCAAAATCAATAGAAACTATCGAGACTAGTTCATTCGAATATTTCCAATTATAAATATGTTGTAGAAATCAAATTTTGTGGGGTAAAGTTTTCATCCCACGACACTTAACTTGGGAGGGGGCATGGAGGAGGGGGAGTAATATTCATTTCTACCGAGGAAGCTAAGGTGTTAGCGAGACGCGTCTAGGAATGATCATGTTTGTTATAATTGAGTAATCATTATCGTGGATAGTGTTATCGCTTTCCATCAAACAACGGGTCAATCCAGACATGAGATGGAAAGAAAGTGAGGTTTGTCTCGATTCAAAGAAGTATTGAGTCAATTCGTAGGGTTAGCCCAACAGAGGAACAAAGACAGCTCGTCATGTTTTACACTAGACCAGAAGAATATGACAAACATCCAAGAGAGGGGCAGTATAAACTGAGAAAGAGAAGAAGTTTGTTGCAATGGGTGGCATGAGGTTATTATGGAAGATCACGGAATGAATCTAGTCAAGCTAGAATGGCTCCCAATCAGGGAAAAGTTTTAATAAAATACAAATAATCCAATTCAAACATGCCACCATGAATGTCATTTTCAAATGGAAATAATAGTCGAGTGACACTTCATTTGAACTGTATCTAACTTTTTAATTATACTGATGAAAATGATGAAAAATGAAAAACCTCGTTGGTGAATACTTGTTGAAGTAGGCAATATGGTCCTAAAATTAATCCCCTAGTTACTGTTTGAATTGTTGATGATCATGTCCAAATTATTCTGGAATAGTCTCAACTCACTTTTTTTAAATAGACATTTCAATTTTGGCCCCGTTTGAATATCATTTCGTTTATTATCTTTTATTTTATAAAAAAAGTTTTTAAACGTCAAGAGTGGATTGAAATAGTGGGTTGTTTAATAACAAACAACCTGAACATCCAGAAATCCTCTAAAATGAAGGCATTAACTTCGATCTGATGGAAAATACGCAGTCGTTGAATTGGTTGCCCTAAGCATATGTGGGACATACGTTATCTGTTCAAAAAATAGTTTGAATTTTCATTTATCTCAAAAAAAATCTAATTTTTTATCAATTCCTATTTTGATCCCCTTCAAAGTTGTCCCTCGCTGATTTAACACATTTGTATCAGCCTTTATTCCAATCCTAAAAGCAGTTCTAATATGAACTTTTTGGCATGTCCTTGACCTTTCTCAGCAAAAAAGTTTTTATCTCCCCAATCGTCGCAAAACGCCGTCCTTTCATGGGTCTCTTCAATGTTGGTAACAGAAAAAGTCGCAGGGGGGCAAATTTTGTGAATACGGTGGCTGAGATATGATTTCGGTGTTAATTTTGGCCACAGAATTACGAACAAGCAGATACTAGTGAGCAGCTGCATTATCGTGATGCAAAAGCCATGAATTGTTTTTCACAATACCGAAAGCTTTTTTTGTATTGCTTTTTTCAAACGGCGCATAATATAAAATTTTACTCCTTATTGACTTTACGACCATCTGGCAAAAACCCCTGATGCACTATGCAAGGGTAATCGAAACAGTGAGCAAAACCTTTATCAAATTTGGCCTGCTTTTTTGTGTTGGTTTACCTGGGCTCTTCTATTGGCCCTTTTGAACAAATCTAAATCGCATTTGAGGTCACTCAACAATTTCTGAGCGATGCTTATGCTACAGTTTTTTTAATCAAAATTCAGAAATTTTGGAACGGACTTTGCTGCTACACGCTTCATGTCCAAAATTTTCGAAAAAATTGCATGGCGTGAGCCAACCAATATGCAGAAATCCAGAGCAACTTCTCTAATAGTGATCAGACGATTCTCTATAACAATTTCTTCGCTTTCTCAACATTTTCATCAGTTGTTGATGTGCTGGAGCTTCCAGGATGAGCGTCGTCATTCACATCTTCTTGACTTTCTGTGAAAAGCTTGTATACCATTTGTGAATATTTTTCTGACTCAGTACAATCACCATATGTCACTGTCATTCATTAACTATTTTTGAACACTCATTTCCATTTTTTTCGAAAATGTATCTATAACCTACATTTTGATTTGTCCATTCTTCCTTCCACGACGCCACTGAAAACGACACATCCTTGGTCATTCTGCTGAAGAGAACAGACCGTTCTAATGGACTAATTAAAGTGTACGTCATTCTCGTTAGTGATAGTGCCCGAGGGACAATTCAGGAAACGGACGTCGCGTCAGATGGAAGCGACTTGGGATGTTATTTTGATTTCTCTGATTGAAATCCATGTATTTCTCCAAAGTTTGAAAGCAAAGATAATTCTCTGCATTTAAGTTACGATGATTTCATATACATTCGTGGATCTGATGTTCGACTCTAGTTAAATTCTTAATTCTTTTATAAAATGCCTTCGTCATTCATGCATTTGCAAGAATTGATGGAGATGATCCTACTCCTGATAAGTTTTGGAATGGTATCATGATTCACAGAGCGGCATCGTTTTGATTCAAAATCATTTCATCTGAACGTAATCACTAGATTCTCATTTATTATCAATTTCCGATTTTTGTTCCAGTTGTAAAATTATGAATATCCCCATTGATTTTCTAGAGATGAGGAGTTTCAGATATCTTTCAAGCAGATATGGAACATTTTTCTAGAGTCATATATAATTACACAAAAATTGTTTCTCTACAGTTCACTAACTGTGGTGAAAGTATTATCCTTTGAAAATGTATATGAAGAGATAAAAATATTTTCATAAACGGAAAGAAATAACAACAAAAATTTCGATTTGTATCTAAACATTTCAAACTGAGTGTTGACAATACGAGAGTGGACTGCAATTGATTAAACCAATCCAACACTTTGATGGGAACTGTAGACATCACTTTCAGTAAATTCAAAACTGAATGAATATATTTTATTAATCATTGTCAAATAGCAATGTTCTAAAGTAATCATCAATTTAGGCTAGTCTTCCCCTACCTACACAGTAGATTCATGGACTGACACCCATCAGAAAACAACTACTCCCATGGCTGATACCACGAAGAGTATTGGATTATATCCAAAAGGTGTCAGTTCAGAATTCTTCACAGAAGTAATTTCTACATGTGCCTTTGGCGATACAACTGCCCGAATCGATTTTCAATTATTGGAAACAGCACACTTGTGGACCGGTTTCGGGCTATTTAGCCTCTCGTCAGTGCATGGTAGTGTCCTACATCCTATAACTGAAAATCAAATTCTATACTATGAGTAGAATTTATTTCATTATACGAGGATTAGATCATTTGGATATGCGGTTAGTTAGTACCTCGCCTGCAGCCAGAGGGGGTGATGACAAACCGGTTTGCAAGTGTGTCCGTTTCAATAATTGAAAATCGAATTTGGCAGTTATATCGCCAAAAGCATATGCAGAAATTACTTCTGTGAAGAATCCTGCACTTACACCTGTCGGATTCAGTCCAACTCACTTCGTAATATAAGACAAGGGTGTAGTTGTTTTCTGTTAGTTAGTTCATAAACCTACTGTGTAGGTAAAGGAAGACTGGGCTGAACAATTTGTTCTTCTGAATAATTTGATTTAAAGCCAACCTTCAACTATGCCCACTTACTATAGGTGAAATTGTCAAACATGTTTTTTTTTAATATTACTGGAGTTCTTTCCCAACACCAAAACGTTATTTTAACACCTTGACACGTGTTTCGATCACCAAGTGATCATCTTCAAGAGGAAGAATAGAGTTGACTATGAAACATCATATATAAACATCACTGCGTCTTTGTTGTTCGATCAATATTATTTCCCTTATAGTTCACCAACTTTGCATTTTAGCTTTACCAAATGTACATTTCATTCGTTGAGCATCATTTTTCATTTAGTTGAAGCACTGAGATGTTTTTTGTAAAGAATATTACTGCGGTTTTTCCCAACACCAAACCGTTATTTCAACACATACTCACAATGTTATCCTCATTTATACCATAGATACCTCTTCTAGGTACCTGCGTCTTTAAAGTGTCTTAAATTAATTTCACAATATTGACTTATAGCTAGTCTTAAATTAATTTTCAATGTATCCTTATGTAATAGACAGGTAAATATAATAATTTGAATAACAACAAGCTAAATAGTATACTATTTTCTACACCCGTACTCTAACAATACACTTATATGACCATAATCCGTTTCATAATGATATCCATTATGATACAGATTTTTCATAACGATACAGATTATCAACCAATAGAAACCCATAATTTTTCAATCAAGAATCCTGTTCCTTTGTTCCTAAGTAACTAATTGCTTTATTTGTCAAAATCAGTTTTCATATCACCTACCTATATTATCAAAATATCTGAAAACAGCAATATAGAAGGAATACCATCGACTCCAATATTTTTAAAAGATTAGATTAATTACAGTTGTTATATTCAATATAAATATAATTGGAATCTTTATAGTTTTCATATATCCATGATAATACCATTAAGTTTGTGTTTTTTTTTTTTAAATATGAGTTAATTACTGTAAATGTGTTCAATACAAATATAATATTTATAGTTTTTCATTATTTATCGGGTTTAGAAAAAATAGCGTATGCAACTCTCATGTAATGGTTATTAATACACTCGCATATACCATACAAAAGTCGCCTTCGGCTCGTTTCGTATCCCGGTTGATGCTCGTGTCTTAATAACCATCATTAAATGATCGTTGCATAATATACTATTAGTTATTGGTCCACCATCGTTATTCATAGTATTATTATGTTTACTCATGGCCACACTCTCATAGGCATCTAGATGCCTGTTGTTGTTAACTTGTTGAACTGATCTCAATGAACTTGAGTTTATGGAAGGGTTTTGTTGCAAAATATAATGGGCGACTGCTGATTTTTCAGGTCTTCCATGTTTTAAGTGTGCCAAGTGTTCCTTTTATCTTATTTCAATAGTACTTTTTGTATGTCCTTAGTATTTTGCATCGCAGTCCTTACATTTGATTTCGTAAATTCCAGACTTTTCCGAATTCTAGACTTATGTCTTTTCCAGAGCCTAAAAGGCTCTGTAGTGAATGACTTGTTTTGAAAACCACCCTCATACCTACCTTGAAAATCATTCCTAAGTTCTCCGTGTATTGATGGTATGGAACTGAAATAAATTCTTCTTGAATTTCGTCGTTTTTTTTTCTAGAAAGTTCCAGAACTAGATACAGCCCTAAAAATGAAAAAAATTAAATCAATTATAGTCTTTTCGAGTTCATTATATGCTTATGCTCTCAAATTATCCCATATTGTTGAGAAATTCCCAATCATCCTCATAGTTGAAAGTTACACAATGGATCATTGATTCCAAATATCCATCAACTAGGTAATCATCGTCAAATATAATGCATGCCTATTCTCTATTATTAGCTGAAACTAACATGACCAAAACAATAGCAAGAGGAACTAGAATTACTTCACAACGGTAGTCCCAAAGTTTCTCTATGGAAGTTAGAACGGGCAGGTAAGCTCTAGAAATTTCTGCAAAGGATCGAAATTAACTTGGTCGACAAAAACTTTGGCAGAGCTTTTGTGTTACTATCCACAGATTAATTCGGGCTGGCTCTAAATAACTTTGCGAAACGAAATGGAATTATCAGATCGACTGCTGGACAAAGGGTAATCTCTAATAGGTTATATTGCTCGATTATTTGGTGAAACGTGTTTGGTTCGAAATGAACTGTGGATGAAGTTTGTTTCTGATTTGAGTAACAAGTTTATTTTCTATTTACTATCTGAATTCAAACTGATAATCAGTGGGAATGATATAACAGAGGGTCAGCAAAATAATTTCACAAGTTTTGAATGAATAAACATAATAAAAATCTATGAATACTTATGAATATGAGCATATATGAATGACTCATACAGTGTATTTTAGTTGAAACGTGCCACAGTGAATAAACTATCTTATATTATGAAAGTGAAAAATTCGTGAAACACGTTAATTTTAGTTTTCAGAATGACACTGAAAAATAAAGTCCACAGAAAAATTACTTTATTAAATATTCGAACTGACATCCAGCAACTTCTTTGCAGAAACTAATGAACGAGCTTCTGTTTCCTGCCTTACATTCTGGAAGAAATCAGATGTTAGCTACCTACAGCACCTCGTAATTACTCCTCGTAAATTATCTGAAGTAATTGGCTGCGCCTCATAGATTTTTGATTTCATCTATCTCCGCAAAAAAATCCAGTGGAGTTGAATCGGGAAATCGAGATATACAGTGTCATCCCCAAAGTATGCTCCATATGGGAAACTGATTTATTCAGGGTTTTTCGACAAAATGTTATTCGTGATAAAAGTATTTGCATCGCCTAAAACTAAACATACACCAACAAAATAAAGTAAAACCCACGTAATATACGAGGAACCTTCAAATATTTGATTTAGAGGAACGAGTAAAGTAACTTTATGTAGAAGAATTTCGAGAAATATTATTTGAAAAAGTTGTTCAGCATTGAAAAATACATCTAGATTTGAAGTCACGGCCATTTAGGTAAAGTTTTATTTTTGTACTAATTTTTTTTTAAATGAGGGCTACGAAAAGAAAATTTGCTAAAACGATGAATAGACAGCATTCTGTATACGACGGTTTATTTTAATTTTTGTGATATTACGAATCACACAACTATGGTGTTAACCACGTTCAATTTTTTTTGAAGAGTAAAATAATTTTAATGCAAATTTATTTTTATGTTTTGTTAACACCGAAAATTACTCAAAATTATATTGTATCGTAACAAGAACTCAATCCTCAATAATATCAAATCACAAAACATCAAAATGAAATGAGTATTTCAGAACAAGCTCACTGATTTTCTGGAGATTTTCTTTTCCATAATAATTTTCCAAAATAATCTCCAGAAAATCAATGAGTTTGTTCCAAAATTCCTATTTTAAATTGATGTTTTGTGAATTGATATTACTGAATATTGAGTTCTTGTCACAATACTCTATGATTTTGAGTAATTTTCGGTGTTCACAAAAAACAAAAATAACTTTACACCAAAAACTTTGAAAATCATTTTACTCTTAAAAACAATTGACCGTGGTTAGCACCATAGTTGTGTGATTTGTAATATTGCAGGCTATTGAAATGAACCTTCATATACAGGATACTGTCTAATTATGGTTTTAGAAAATTTCATTTTCGTAGTCCCCATTTAACAAAAAATGGGTAAGAAAATAAAACTCCACTTAGATGGCCATGGCTTTAAATCTGGATGTATTTTTTGATGCTGAACAACTTTTCTCGATAACATTTCTCGAGATATTCCAAAATAAGAGCACTTTACTCATGTCTCAAAATCAAATATTTGAAGAGTCCTCGTATATTACGTATGTTTTACTGTATTTTGTTGGAGCATGTTTAGTTTTAGGAAAGAACTTTTATCAAGAATAACTTTTTGTCGAAATATCCTTAATACCCATAAGGTGCATTCTTTGGGGATGACTCTGTACATTCTGGAGAACCTCTTTCAAATCCATTGACCCGGAAAGTTAGTATCAAGGAACAGTTTTGCGATAAAGGATCTGACTGGATAGCATGTGGATGGAAACTGAACGAGTAGGCAATAACTTTGTTTGACCTTATTATGACACCAATTTTTTTTGTGAATAATGAAGTTATCTCAAACACTGACAATGCCATGATAACTTCTCAGGTCGATGAATTGGAAGGGGAGGTTCTACAATATGTCCACGCGGTTCAGAAAGTATAGTAGGAAACAAAAGTTCGTTTATACCATAATATGCAAGTTCATGGTGCTCTTGCCAAACATTTAACGAAGTGAATTTTTCTGTTCAATTCCAATTTCTAGTTCGAAATCGAATTAAAAACAAGTATTTTTTATGATATTGTTCATCATTTCAGTGTCGAAAGAGTTACAAGATCGGATACAGACTTTTCAGATGATGTGTCACTCGACTAGTATTTTCATTTGATATGTTGTGAGGAAGTGACTGTTGAAGTTGTTAATTTTTACATAGAAACTGGAAACTAGAGTTGCATTGTTCCACGATTTGTTCACATTCTCAATATCAAATAACGCATTCAAAATGTACATAATCGTAAAGGGTGGTTTATGAGAACAATATTTTTTCTGCGTCACGTGATTTAAAATAAATCACATGATAAACCAAGAAAACTAATATTCTGAATGAAAATTTCAAATACCTGTTCACACGTTTCTACGCATATTAATGAAAAATTAATGATGATGTACATACTCGTAGGGTTGAAGGTCGTTTATGAGAACAATAATTTTTCTGTAAAACAGTAAAAACGATAACCCGAGTAACGCACCTCTTTGATTCATACTCTGTCGTTAGCCTGAGCTCATTGTACTAGTGAAATCCAATTTGCAAAAACAATACACTTGAGCTACCTGATATCAGATAAATCCGGTTATTCGCATTATCCGTCGTAATGGCGTGATAAAACTGACACTTGGCAATCCGACAGATAAAGTAGCGACCGATCCGAGGCATATTTTATGTTTTCCTAAAACACTGATTTATCACATAATTAATTCTGCTGTGTTTTATCACGATACAACAATGGCAGAATGGCAAGCATCGTACTTGGCGATGATTAATGGCATTCCAGATAACCGCCGTGAAATAGTTCCACTGACTGATATTACTTTTGAAATATACACTGTATTCGCTGCGACAATTGTTAGTCATCGGTTGGTTGATTTGGGACAATTCGGCGGATAATGGGATGTTATTCTATGATAGATGAAAATTGTTTGGCATACCATAGATTGGAAACTACACCTCACTGGAAAATAACAAAAATCACTCTATTCTAATCATAGATTTCAATTTTAACTGTTTGAAATATTTTCCACATATATAGCAGTATTCGTCGTACAATAATAGGTATGGTAGGTGCCATAAAAAAGGGTTACATATGGGACAAGTACGTCTCCACTTGAATGAATCATTATATTCACCAATCATGGTAATTGATATTCCTAAGGTGTGTTTGTTAGGGTAACGATCCACGAATCGATATTGCAGAAATTGTTCCACCAGCTCTGACCTGATTATATAAATCTTGTGGGATGTATGAGGAGAATCAGTTTGACGCGTAACAATAAAGACAACAAGTGAATTGGGGTGAAAGTACCCAGGTTCAATTCATCGCCACAAAAACCGCACCGGTTTTCTTCAAGGAGATAAATGTCTCCGAACCGGATATAATAATGTCGGGTCAGAAAATTCCGTTTTTTGCTTCGATTAGTTTGTTGGGGGTTGAAATGGACACCAAGATGTCTTGGCACAACCATGTCGCTGGAATTGCAGAGGCTGCTTCTCAAAAATTTGGAACACTGTTCCGAACCAGAAAACTGTACACACCTCAGCAACTTTTGATGCTTTATAAAACCCAGATCAGACCTTCTCTGCAGTATTGTTCTCATGTATGGAGGTCTGCCCCCAAATTTACCGTGAAATTGCCCCGAAAAGAACCATCCGCCTGATTGGAGACGCGAACATCCCGTAGAACCTTGACAACCTGAAACATCAAAAAAAGGTTCAGATATATGTCTCTCTTCTATAGATACTTCTACGGAAAGGGTTCAAGTGACTTGGCACATTTGATCCCACCAAGAGTGGTACATATCAGAAATACGCGACAGACTGTGGCTGCTCATCGTTTTGAGGTTCAACTCAGTACACCTCGAACTTCACTGTTTGAGAACTTTTTCATCTGAAAAATTGCGATTATGTGAAATACATTTCCTGAGAACGTTTTTCCAAATGGATTTGTCCTCCAGCGATTCAAATCCAATGTAAATCGCAACTTTTTCACATGCACCGCTCTGAGAGCGCCTTAACGATGTTCCCTTAGTGCTTGTGTTTTACTCTTAAAGAAAAACAAAACATTATTGGATAGCATAGCAGATACTTTCTGAAAATATAGAATTTTGAAAATACTCAACAGAACAAACGATTCGCTGATGTTATAAGACCAAGGAAAAACTAAACTGTGACTTACGAGACAAAAATCTCAAAGAAGATACATCAGAATTCAAAATATATGCTTTGAAACTGATTTGAATCGGGCTCGAAAATGCAGTCCAACCTGATTTGAGGCAAGTTTTCAACGAGAGAGTTTCAGACTTACCGAGTTCAGTGGGATTCACTATGTCTAAGTGATTGCCTATTACATGGTAGATCAATTGATGGTTCCAAAAGATGTAGTCAAAGATATAGTGAACCAATGGGGTTATTCAGCAAATCTATTTTTGTGCATTGAATAGTAATCGTGAAGGGCTCTTCGGTACAGAAATATTTTGGTACGAATGGGTCAACTTTCGAAGTGACGTTGAAAATAGTCAAAATTATCTGACCTCAACCTACAATAAAATATCTTGTAGAAAACATTTGAAAAAGTATTAGTAGTGATGGACTATTCCTTGTTTTTCTGAATGGTATTTTTTTATTCCGATTCGAAAGTCTGATATTGAAGCGAAGATGTTCCTCGATGATATGGTTGCCAGACATGGAAAGCCCAATCATGAAGGGAAATTTGAATTAGGACTGTGGTTGAAATTGATGCAAACTTTGGATATAAGGAAGACCAGTACGATTTCACTTCACATGCAGTTAGATAGTATGGTCGAAAAGCTTAATCCATCGATGATCCAGTATCTACCTAGAGTCGTTTCAGAAAATCTGAATCACTGAGACACTTGAGTGGTAATGGAATGACAACCATACCATTTGGTATTTTACCTATAAACAAGGACCAGAAAACGTACATTGAATTAACTCTGAATTACAGAGATTGACGGTAGAAATCTTCACTAAAAACAAAAATATGTTGAGGAGGAAAGTTACATACTCCTAGTTCAGACGAAGAAAGTTACAACCCAAGCTTCAAAAAACATGGAAAGACTGTACTAGGTAACTGAGAGAATAAATGACTTCATCTATTGTTTTCAATAGATTTTATGAAATAGATCAGTTTATCCGTTATATATACTTTCGTTAACCAGCTGTCACCCCCTATGAACGACAATTTTGAAATGTCGAAACTTGTGCGAGCTAAGGATTAACGAGTTTTTACTTCATAAAGTGCGATTCCTAGCAGGTTGGATGATAAGCAGCGAATATCGGCCTCGCAGTTTGAACGACCTTTTCACCTGACAGTCGAATAAATGTGAGGAACAAACCTCTCACGACAACCCAACCGGCTTCTCTTCCAAGTAGTCATCCACATAAAGAGACTAACTGATACCGTGTCAGCCCTAGATTGATATTTGATATAGATATGCGGAAGGAAACCAATCGATCTACTCTGATAACGATGATCATGCGAACACAAAACGTGTTTTGCTATACAATAGCTTCTTCAGGCGTGTCTAGTCACGCTTGATGAAGCTATTGTAAAGCGAGTGTAGTAGTTTGTAGCGTCTCAAATTGATCTTCGAAACGGAACATTTTTCCTTAAAGTATCTATCGCAGGTGCAGGTGTCTACTACCGATTCGTCCCTCGAAAAAGAACATGCAAAATCAAGATGGCTCAGTGTTATGTTTCTGATGTATGATCTATCCATTCCCAATGGGAACGGCAATAAAAATAAGAGCACTACGAGGGGTGTTCATAATCACCGCCCGGCAAATGGGAAATGTATGTACTACCAGTGCTTTTATGTTCAAAGCGTCCCTGGTACAGTCATGAACATTTCTTGCCTGTGGCCCCTAGTTGCCCAAATAGTTGGTAAACGTGCTATCAAATCTAGTTGAGGAATAAAGGCTCGGCGGGGAATAATTCATGGTATATACCAAAAAAAATGAAGTACCAACCATGGAAATGATCTGGTATAAATTACTCGACTATCCCGATTACAATTAAAAATCTTAAGAAACTCTGTGAGGTGTCTTATTGTCTTGTGATTTCAAATATAAAAAATTGAACAATCGGTTGGTCATAATGGAATCTACCCGCGTTGTTCAACTCCGACAAGAATATTTGAGGGGAATAAAAAGCTACCGAGAATCCAGCAGACATATAATCTACCTCGACGAAACATGGTTTGATACCCATGATGTTGTCGAATATGGCTGGGTAGACAAAACCAAGTATTGTGCTTTGAACACACCTTCTTCAAGGGTAAAACGTGTTATAATTTTGCATGCTGGGAATGAAAGTGGTTTCGTACCTAACGCTTTGTTTCTGTCGGCCAAAAATACTGATTACCACGAAGATATGACTGCGGCTTCATTCGAAACCTGGTTCAGTGAGCAGCTTCTCCCAAATATTCCTCTTAACTCGGTTATTGTTATTGATAACGCTTCGTATCATTTTAGTTTATTGACTACAATACCAAACAATAACACAAAAAAAGCAGATATTGACGATTGCATGCAAAATCATGACATGGAAATACCTGAAAATATTCCAACGAAAAAGGTATTACTGGCAACCATAAAACAACGTAATTTCAAAAAAGAGTATATTATTGATTCGATGTGTGAAACACGTGGTCATATTCTCTTACGTTTACCTCCACACTATTGTGTGTTCAATTCAATTGAAATGGTTTGGGCCACAATGAAAGAAAGCTTGCGGAAATGTAATCAGTCACTGACTTTGAATGCTGTGGTGCTTGACAATATGAGACGAGTGGTGAATGAAGTAGGTAATAGTGATGTGTGGAAGAACTGTGTGGCCCACGTTATAAAAGAAGAGAACAAATTATTGTGTGCAAAGTTCCATAAATCCGATCGTTATTCAACCCGATGATGATTCCACCTCATCCGAATATAGCGAAGAAAACCTGAAATGAAATAATAGTGAAATAAAATACATCCGAAGACGATTGTAGATACTAACAATCGAAACGTTGTGAACTAACGTGACTTGGAATCTCTCCATTTTTTATTTTTATTTTCTTTTTTCATTTCTTTATTTCAATTTATTCAATTGTTTTATTTTTACTTGTATTTTATTTCACTATTATTTCATTTCATGTTTATTTTGGTTAATATAATTATTATTTTCAGCTATTCATTTTCAATTCTTCTTCTTTAGTTGTTTCAGGGATTTCAAATCATTTTATATAATAGACAATGGAAGTCCGAACTAGTGAAATTCATCATGAAACATTGTCAATCACCTTCAAACAAATAGCGAAGAAAAATTTTGAGTTTTCTAGCAATTTGGTTGGCCTCTATTATTTTGTAAATATATGTTTGACGAAAATTTGGTGTGATTATTTGTGTTTTCATTGTATTTTAGAGTTTTCGACTCGGAAATCAACTACCTTAAATTTCGAAGTTTTTCATAATTACTCATGGTGGAAAAATCCAGTTGAGATAACTTTTTCATGAGGTTATCAATTGCTATGATTGTAAGAAAAAGTAACTGAAA